TTTTTTTTTTTTGCCTAACCTTAGTCAACTTAAGTTTACGTCTTCTCGGAAATTCTACTCACTCTGCAAACCAAAGCTGTCTAGTTTACTTTCTTCCTAGAGATTCTTTATCAGCATACGCTTTGCAATACTGTACAGCAGCGCTTAATTATATTGCGATGAAATCGATAATGATTATTTCAACTATGCTTTTGACCAAATAAAGAAGTGATCAAATAAAGAAGACGGAATGACCATTGAATTCTAAACGATAAACTCTATTAGATGTATCAATGAATCTGTGGTTAAACTGTGCAAATGGTTAGTGATTACCCGTTCCAATACTACAAATACCTGTAAAAAAGTATTGGTTAATAAGATTTTTACTGATTCGACAGCTAAACAGTAACTGGAATTGTTGATGCTGATGAGTTGTCGTCGAACAGGCTTCAAATTATTTATGGAATATTGATGAATCATTGGAACAGTCGAATGATTTCTAAGTTTTACGCTGTTATTATTGTCAAAATATTAAGCAATAACTGTAAAAATCTTCATCTGAAAAAATTTAAAGCTTTTTTGATTGTATCATTATATTTCATAGACAGTTTATAGTTTGTTCAAAAATGGTGTAAAAATGTTTTAGTTCTTACTGAAACTGTTTTAAACTATCGGACAATTTTAAATATTCTTTTTGTCGACGTAACCAAAAATCCTATTGTATGATAATTTTATTTATGTATTTCAACTGATCATTTCTATCCGGCTTAGTAGAAGTAAAATTTGCATTGCAATAGTGTATTAGAAAAACCACACTTTTTTTTTTGCTTACGAAATAACCTGTGCTGCTGTGAAGTTTTGTAAAACCAGACTAGTTTAAAAAAAAATTCTATTCAACTACAAACAGCACCGATACAATCAGTGGTTATGTTGACTAATAAGTTTAGGTTTGTTTACCCTTACTGCTACTTTTACTAATACTTCTACTATTCTGGATACTGCTGTTGTTGTTTCTACTACTATTACTACTATCAATACTATTACTACTACTTCTACTACTGTCACTGTTTAGAACTTTTAAAGTTGAACAGGAATAGTTTTGACTACTTTTCCTGCCAGTTTAGTACAAAATGTTTACAAATTTTAAAGCGATAACACTGTAAAATATATGCATACATATTTGAAACTGACTAAATATTACCTGTTTAACATCTCGCAGTAGTAACTGTTTATTAACAGTGACTGAAATTTTTGCTTTGACAAATGTATCATTTATTTTTAAATTAAGCTTTACCCTTTTTTTGCAACTGTTTTTTATCTTTTTATATCAAAGTACAGTTGGCTTATTTCTAAAAAATAATGGACAAAACTGAATGACCAGGGTAACCACCTAAGATAGGATGACGGGTGAGGAAGAGAGTGGCGGAAAGGACGGTTGTCGGATACAGCGAGACAGTTGTAAATCCAACTATGAGCGTATTTAACTTATTTTGATACGGCAACCTGAGTCAAACTCATTTTTTCTCTTTCACTAGTTCCTTAAAACTTCTGTAAACAAAAAGAGCAAAAAAGAAAGAGATGAAAACAGCAACGAGGGGAAAAAAGCGAATTTGTTTATATCGGTAAACAAATCGGTATGATTGATAAATCTTAAAAAACAACAACGACAACAGCAACAATAGTAACAGCAACAACAACAACAACGTCAATTAGAGGTCATCTACTTGAAATACTCGATGAAGGTACTAGAAATGACTGAATCGGCGGTTTATGATTTCTTCACATATTTTGGATCATCTTTCAACCAAAGGAAAAAAAAAGAAAAAAAATAACAATTGATTTTTTTTTTAGTACATATTGGCTTCGTAATCTAGTGTTCGCTTTCCAAAAGAAAAAGGAAACCAAATTTTTTCTTTCCTTGCATGTTATTCTTTAAATATTTTTGTATAAAAGTGACTACTTCTTTTTTGTATGTGCAAAAAAATTCACAGTAACGGCAAACACTTTTATAGATTTTTTAGCCACGTTTTTTTGCTTTGCTTTTATAAGTTTAACAGCAAAACGGAAGAAACAAATATGGCGTATAGAAACTGTTGTCTTTGGTGTTCCTTTCGATGGTGCTTTCGTTGATGGTGTTGTTGATGGCATCGATGTTTGCGTTGGTGGTTGTGGCGGTGGTGGTTGTGGTGATGGTGGTAATAGTAATATCGGTTTGTTGTATATATTTGTGCATATTTGCTAGAGGAAAAAAAAGAGTCGTTTTTTTTTTGCTCTTTCTTCTCGAAAAAAAATTTTTTTAAACTTTTCAAGTCGGCTGAAAAAAAAAACTTTCGAAACAATCGTTTGTTGCAATTCAAATATTTGTCTGATTTGTTTGGCTGCTTATTAGCTGTTTAAAATTTTTCATTAACGGATCTATTGATTTGCACACAAATTATTTCATTCGCTTTCTGCATTTCCGTATACCTGTCATATCGTTTTGGCTTATCGTCAACAAAATTTTCTGTATTTTTGGTTGCACTTTTATTATCGCTTTTTTTTTTTTAATTTAACAGCCTCTTATACTTAAACTTTTCCTAGGATTAACTCACTGTTACGACGATGAAGTAGCAAATGACTTGAAAAAGTTCGTCTATTCCTTCTGTATTATCCTTCTTCTCTCCAAAAATAAGTTTTAAGCTATAAAAAAATATAATTTTTAAATTCTCGTCACAAAAGATAGTTAAATTGGGACTGTTCAGTGAGTGAATCTTTTGACAAGCTATGAACTATTTTAAACAATATCTAACAATTCAAAAGCTTAAATCTCAGCTTACCGTTACGGTTGGCTAATTATCCGGATATACAGAGAGGT